GGCGCATAATAAAAGTTTGGCCAACCTAATATTATCTTGTATATACGCTTTGCATTGTTAGCATCAATTCTCATCATCTCCTTTTTATAATGCTTGCTGCCTCACTTGACGCTCTCGCCTATTCTGTTATTAATTAAACCGGCATTCATCGACCGCGCGGCGCGCGAACTTGGGAAGAAAATTTTATCCCAAGCATTGCTACGAGCGAGGCTACTGCACTGCTGCGGGTACTGCCAACACACATTTTGCAAAATCATCACAAAAAGAATCATTAAAAAGGATGAATATAAAAAATCAAAGATGCTGTGTATGAATGCTTGTCTGCAGCGCTGTCTGTCTGCGTCTGTCGTTTAGAGACGTCAAGAGTCAATGAATTATCACGCGGAGATTACAATAATAAAACTGGAATTACATACAGAGAGGGACAGGCATGCACGCCTCCAGGCACTGGCACCGCTCGTTAGGATGGGAAAAAATATGGAAAATTATAAGAATGTTTGATAATTATGTGCACCTGCAAATTATAAAGTCACACAGCAGAGAATGTGCACACAATAAAATTATTTATATATATTTTCATTAATTTTTATATTATTGAGCATTTTTTAATAAGTTTTTATGCATTTTTGCAAAAGTAGAAATATAAATTTTTTAATTTAAAACATTTATATATTTTTAAAATTTTCAAAATTAAAAAAATTTGATCATATTTATAATAAGTTGTTAAATATTTAGGAATAAACATTCTAAATAGAAGCTCAATTAATTTGGAACTTTCCCAAGAACCTTCTTATTAGAAAATTTACAAGTTGACGCATGCCTTTTAAATTTAAAAATACTATATTCCTTTAATAAATAATACGTCTGTATAACAACAATAATTTTTTTTATCTACTTGAATGAAATCAACTTATTTTATGGGAAAAACAGTATTTGTTTATATTTTTATCATTTAACAAAAATTCGATTATTTTGTTCATTAAATTAGTCTTTATGATTAAATTAAGCGCGTCTCTTCCGCAGGTGTTTGGCGTATTATTATTAATATCAGCAAAATTAAAAAATTCCACCGGTAATTTGTGTGACTAAGGCGCGAAAGGTGCGCGTAATTGAGTGAATTGGTCTTGCCTGCCATAACTTCTCGCGCGCCGCAAACAATATTATATACCCTAGATAATATGTGTTTTATGCGCTTTGATGATTTCACAAACAAGAAAACGATGAGTTTCTTATACCTCGCGCCTGTTTTTTCTTCTCCTTCTGAGAGATGATGGTGCACATGGCGTATATATATTATATCACACACTACACATATTAAATTATAATCTATTAGTGGCACAAAAAATTAAACTGTGGAAAAAATTCCAGCGGCGTGCGAGTTCTCTCCAAAATTCGGCATTGTCGAGGCTTACAAAGCACTTTTGCGTGCTACCGCTTGAATGCATTGATAAAAAATATCTCACAGCTTCCAAACTGGTCTCACTCATGACAACAGATAGCCAGGTTAACCTGATAACAACCATGCAAACAGGCATTAAATTAAATATATTATCCCCGCAGCGGCTTTTTTTGCCACCGAACAATTTAATTACATTTTTAATGACGAATTATGACCAGATTAGTCGCACATCTACTAGGGGCAGACCTTGTCGAATTCACTGCTCCCGGTAATTGACAATCTTATGTACCGAAATAAAGAAAGAAAGAAAGACGATTCTCTCTCTTGCGTTTATTACAAAGGTATACATTCCGACGTCTCACCCGACACAATGCAAGTGCATTTTCGCCGAGTCACCCAGGCAGCCAGCAGCTTTTTTAAAAGAGGGCCAGCGCAGCAGATCCAACTGTGCCGGGAAAAATATAGAAATGGGCTACTTGTTGTCTGCCTCTTTCTATGTACTATAGAGTAATTGTTGCAATTCACCGCTCTATGGGGATAACACAAAAGCTGCTATGCTGCCTGCAGGTTTATTTATTAAAGGGTTTATATTATTTGGCGCGCCGCGAGTCCTTTTCTTTAATTCTTTTATTCGTTTGTGTGCCACATCAACGCCTGACTGCCATCAACAGAGAGAGAGAGAGAGAGAGAAGAACGAATCAAAAGCTCCTGTGTGTGTCTAAACAGACGGAGAGAGAGAGATGCATTGCACTGCTGCATACACACAGGCTCTCTGGTCTCTTAATTACATTCGGCCGCCATTGTTCGAGCGTTTCCTCTCTTTTTCTCGCGGCCACGGATTTGTTTCCCTCGGCTGAAATGCAATCAAATGACGCCGCCAAATTCAAGTTGTTATTTTTATTGTTTGGTTCCTTTTCTCGCAGTCTAATGGTCTTTCTTATTTTCTTTTGGTTCGATCCAGCGAGCGAGACTTTTTTTTCTTCTGCAACAATTACAACGCGTGACTAATGACGTCGCCGCTGCAGCTTTGATTTCATTTTTGTTGTCCGCACGCTGCGTGAGACTCTGGTCAGACAAACCGCGCGTATCATTTTGCTCTCTTTTGTTTTCGTAAATAGAATTTGAAAACCATTTTGTTGAAAGAGAGCGCATACAAAATGCACCTGACGCATAAATAATTATCTTGCGGTCTCATTTGTATACAAACAATAACAAATTCTCTCCGAGCAGTCAACTCAATCTATAAAGCAATCGGTTTTGTAAATAAAAGTATGTCTCTCTCCGCAGAAATAAAAGTGTTTATGCGTAGATTTGAATTGTTCCTGATGGAGAGAATAATAAGATTTCCAATTCAAATATAATTAAATCATGGAGACAAGAGGAACAATGCGTCCTCTTTAAATTTTGTTAATTAAAAATTCATACACTATAATTAAATTATATGACTATTTTTGTTTTAACAAAATTTGAAGACCGCTTAATTAACTTTGGTTCAAGAAAGACAATTCTAACCTTTGAAAATTATGTACCAAAAGCAATTTTTTTTTCAATTTATGTTCATTTTGCACATGAAATAGTAAAATACGTAAAATAAATTAAATTGCGAAGTGAATTTTTTCAATGTTTAAACAAACTTTTAAATGCACTTTTTGCTACAAAACATAAAAAGCCTAAAATTATACTTAACTTAATAAAAAAAAAGTTAGTTTACTTATGCGGACAGTAAATTCAATTAGAATATTAAACTTCCATGACTTCATAAACCAACATTACTAAAACCATAACGATGAAAAATATTATCACTTTACTGCAGCATAATTATTGAACGTCATCTTTCTGTTGCAGCTTTAGACACGTCGGAGAAGAGTCTAGCGCATTACGCACCGCGTATGTATGACTTAAAGATTGTGTAGGCAACCCGCGTGACAATGTCTCACTCAGATATAAATCTATGAACAAATAAGTTTTTAACATTTTGAATAGTTGATTGGAATTACAAAAGACAAAATTTTTTGTGGGGGATGGGGGAGATGGGGATCAATTTCTTGTTATCAATCTAGCCAATCTAGTTTATAGACATTATATTGATGCCTTATATTATCACAAAGCTTAATTTTTCATAAAATTTAATATGTGAATCCTTTATTGCAGATTATAGGTAGTAAAGGCAAAATCTTTAACCCAGCACATCACTACAATTCTTTTGCCTAATTGCAATGCAAATTAAATTTTTTTTGAAACATATTATTATATCGTGCAAGTTGATAATCATCAAAATAAGGAGATCGCAGCAATATATCGGCCAACAGAAATAAGCAACTTTCTCATTTTTTACTTGTCCAAATTGTTAATGCATCACATTGTTTACATTCAATTTTTGAAAAAAATTATTTGAAAAGAGACGAGGAATTTTCGGACAAAACGGCACCACGAAGCAAAAGAATTTTGCTAAAAACTTCCCGAGATCCTATTCACCGCAAGTCTCTTATTCACGGCGCTCTTTTTTTTTTTGTCGCAGCGTCGCAGCTTTCGGCTCACCATCAATAAACATGCAGAAGACATTACAATAACAATCTCTCAATTGTGTCTTGTCACATACAAAATAATTATTTTTCAATAATTATAAATTGTAACAAAACACAATTGCAATGAGAGAGATGCTCATATTTTATATGCGTGTATTAAAATTCGTCATTCTGCTTAAGCAGATATTAACGAAATTGTGTATTTGTCGCATCAGAACAAACAAAACATTATATATCATCCATTTCTCCCTTTAAATTTTTGAAAAGCAGATACGACACAACATCGCATACACGCGTATAATCAAACAAGCGCGCACCGACACAATAAGATTCAAATGATGGTGCGCGCCTGAAAACGTTTTGCGCAAGAAGAAGTATGGGTGTCGCTTGCTCGCTCGCAAAAGAGAGAGACGAATGAAATTTCTGCTGTCAAGCAAATGCACACAAGCGAGCGTTTTTGTTGTACAATATTTTTGTTGCCGAGAAGCATTGTTGATTTGACGAGTTGTTGTTGTTGTTGTTGTTGTCGGCGGCGGCGGTTTTGAATGGCGGACACTCGCTCGCGCGAGTGATACACATTTTTCATAAACGTGAGCGCGCGCGAGGGAAGCCCATTAGAATATCACTCAAGGTGTCACTCGCCAGCTTTGTGCGGCGCAATATTTATTTGCAAATGCATTCGACGTGTCGGGAAAAACATGGGCCGCCGGAAAAGCGGCGGCGGAGGCAGCGGAGGCGGCGGGCGAGGGGAGGCAGGACAAAAGCAATTTTCCTCTTTCATCGCCATAGGAGACGCACAAAGCGCGATTTTTTAGCCGGAATAAAACAACCAATGAAATCTTAAGCAACACTGGAGTGACAGGTGGAAAATAGAAGTGGGGCGAACAATGCTTTCCATTGGTGCCTGCGCGGCGTGACGTCAGCCACAAAACACGCGAAAGAAATTCATCTGCTTCTCGAGTGGGGGGTCCTAACATGCATGGTGCTCCTTGTCAGGGGAAGGGAAGGGGCCGCCGCCGCCGCCGCTGCCTGCTCCCTTTTTTCAAGAATTCCCATCGCCGTCCGCCGCGGAGCAGCAGTTTCGCGGGACCGTGCCGAGATTCGAGACGTGTGTGTGGCTCGCAGCCTCCCTCATCTGTGTACCAAAGTGAATTATTATTCAGGGTGTTTCTTGGACGCGGAGCCACGTGCATGCTGCTGACTTAGCCACAAACGGCACCCCACATGGAGATCGACTACCAGGCCGCCAGCCACTTGATGAGGTGCGTTGAATAATATACAATAGTCGCCCCCGGCGATCTCACAAACGCGGATCGTTCTATTGACGTTTGACACGCGGCTAATCATTTGATCCCGTTGGCTCCATTAAAGAGACCCCGTCCTCTTAAATATTTAACATACTTGCATTAAAAGTAATTTTTTTATTTATTCAAGTTTTATGAAAGTAGAAAATGTTACAAAATTTCTTTATTTTGTAATAATCTCAGATTGCAGACATTTATCATAACCTGATTATTTCGTGTCTATACACAAAAAATTAAAGTTCTACAAAATAATGTAATTAAATTAGTTTTTTTCCTGTTTAATGATACTATTGCCTTTTCCATCTTGTATGTATAGTTATATTTTTATGAAAGGAAACAATAATCCTATAAACCAATAAAAACCACACTCTTATATAATGCATGGAAAATACAAAATTAATAAAAATGTATTTTGGAAATGTTCTACCATAAAGTAATGACTTTGTAAACGGCCGCGTTTTTAATATGCCTATTGACACGATAATAGTTTGTCAGGTAATTTTATGGAGCAGCTGCCATTTTTTCAGCAAAGATTTATTTTTGTTTAAATAAAGTGTGCTTTCTCTTTTTTGTAAAAACTGCTCAGCAAAAAAATGTTAATACTCGCTGACAAGTACAATATTTTGACAATGCGCTTGAGCCGATTACTAAATAATACATGCCATACACTTTTTAACTCCTTTAAAAACAGGTCTGTGCAAAACCCTATTATTAGATAAAAATAAGGTCTTTGGTCTTTCTTTCCCACGCATTATACATTTTTTTTCATAGTTTCTTTTACAAAAAAAAATTAAGTATGGTTTTTCGTGATTGACACACATCATGTTTCTTCAAATTGTCGCCATTTAATTAACTCTCGAAAGTGTATGTAAAATCTTGTTAATTGATACTTTGAAATTTGTATTTAATTAATTAAACCATGCTCTATCCATACAAATTCTGCCTTTAACCAAAGAGCTCCCTTTTTGGCCTAAACAAAACGTTATAGCTTGAGGAATTCTTATTATAGACGCTGAATAACTGCACATTTGTTTGAATTATAGCAAATTTGGAGATTGAAGATCTTGCAGAGGTTTATTTTGTTAATTAACTCTAATTTTGAAGTTAACGTTTTGAGCTAAATCGCTTTTAATATAATTTGGAAGCGTTTCAGCTTTTTGGTGCGCATCAAATTGTACAACATAATGCTTATTGTTGAAAAAAATCAGTTATTCCGTTTAACCACGTTTAACGCATATGATTTATTTTCCGAAGTAATCAAATTCAAAACCTTTAGCATTCATTATTATTTCCTTTTTGGCTAAATAATTAAAATGCATATCCATCAGAATCCTTTTGCTGCTTCGCTATAGCACAAATTTTGATAAATTTTCTGCTCTTATATTCATGTTCTGGACAATATAAAGACAAAATGGGCTTGAAATAATGATTGTGGTCTCTAAGACGATTAGATGAAGTGTTGAATTACGCATTATTAATACTCTTGTATATAGCCTTGTAACATAATGAAGTGCATAAACTAATATTTGCCAAAACACTCAATCAAGTCACACGTGTTTTTGTTTAAACTGCAATTACACTGAATGACGCGGTGCAACGAGAGCTTTTGCGCATACAATTTCCCATTGGATTTTTTTATGCTAAAGTGATTTTGGCGGGCCAGTCGTTCCCTTTTTCAGGAGGGTTGGACGCTTAAGCCACTAATATGCATCGGCCGCGCAGTTATACATATACATACAGCACATTGTGTCAATAGACCCTCGACACACCAAACGTCCATTCATCTCCCCCCGCGCGGCTCAAACAACTCATTACACTTCTATTCAGCTATTATTGATTTGTTTCCTTCCACCTCCTGCCGCGGCTCCACCGCCAAAACAAACTGCCCGCAAAAGACGCCAACAAAAAACTCGCATCCATAAAGTGATAATAATTTGCTTCCAAGTTGATACTGTTTATTTATTCGTCTTCTTGTTTTGTTTTTCTTTTTCCGTGGAATTTACGTTTTGAAACAACAAAATTACGGTCTTTATATCTTTATTGCGGAGGACAATGCGACAGTCAGCCGCGGGCACTAATTTATTGGATGCACACAGCGCAAAGCACCAAACAAGCTACTGCCTTGGCACTGCTTTTATTTTATTGCCTCCTCTCACAGCAAACCAACTTCGGAAAAGCGACAGAAATGGCTTTCGAGTGCGATTTGCATAAAATGCTTGAAGTGAGCCGCTATTTATTTATAGCTTATTTTCCTCTTGTTTTTATTTATTGTTAAGTCACTTCATGGAAATTTATTTTTTTTCTTTCAGACGCAATGATTTCGAGTTGCATGAATAAAAACTTATAGTTTTAAATATTAACCTTTTAAAGTCGCCCCTCATGGACATCATTTTTGCGAAAATTTTAATTAATAAAAATTATATGATATCATATTAAAAATTCTTTAATGTAAACTGTTATAATTTTACAAACATCTTAAATAAAATTTAATTTATTTTTAAAATTTTAATTTATGAAATGTTTTTGCTCCTACGGTGACGTTGCAAATTTTCATTTAGTGTGTGCATTGAGAATAGCAATTAGTAATTGTCATTTGACTTGTTTTTCTCAGCCGGTACAAAAATTAAAAAATAAATAATAAATGAAAGGAAAGAATGGGTTTACAAACATATAAGTATATTACTGCAAAAAGCAAATGAAACTAACAAATGGTTATTAAAAAAACTAGAATATTTTTAATTCTATAACCAACGGAGCTTTATAATAAATTAATTATTCAATCGATTACTCACGCAATAAATAAATATTATAAATTAAGAAGCAAATTATTTAATTTCACTAAACGTACATTAACTATAAATTAGATATTATACAGAATAATATTTTAATTCCTTAATTGTTTTTGACGCCAATTTTGTACAATTTCAATTTTATTTTGCGCCATGATGCGTTTTTCTTTTCTGAAAATATTTATGTAACATTATAATTATGCTATACAATTGATTAATTAATTGCCTTAGGTGCATCCTTAATTTCATTATTATTATTATTATTATTATTATTAGGAAGGTTATAATTTGCAAAGGAATTTTTGTCGTCCTAAATCGCAACAATAACTTAAATGCGTATATAAGTTTTTGATTTAGACAAAAGCGATAAATTTTGTTAAATTGACGTTTCTTATTGTTACCGTCATCGACTTGGTATTTAAATAATTTGAGAAAATTTTGATCCATAATTTTTGATTGCGTAATATTATACTTTTGAAACACGCAAATCGCTGTTGATTGCTGTATTTAAACTTGGATTTTGGTTTCTCAGTTTCAGGCAGGCGGGTGGCATGATGGAGGGCGCGTCGAATCCGCTGCTGTCGCCAGCGGGCCAGCGGCTGCACCACCACCACCAGCAACAGCACCAGGCCGCGCAGAGCATGCACCACAGTGCCATGGCCGCTGGTGACCTCAACACGGCGGCCATGCTGCTGGCCGGGGGCGGCTCGCCCCTGCAGCACCACCAGCAGCAGCACCACATGGTGGGCGCCCAGGCCGCGGCCGCCGCGCTCAAGAAGCCGCAGGACGACCACATCAAGCGGCCGATGAACGCCTTCATGGTCTGGTCGCGCATGCAGCGCCGCAAGATCGCCCAGGACAACCCCAAAATGCACAACTCTGAGATCAGCAAGCGATTAGGTAAATTGACTTATATAAGTTTTTTGCACCCCAACCGGCGCTTTTCTCTTATTATAATTATTATTTCCCCTCTTTGCGTTCTAATTTTGCTGAAGCTGTTTGCACACAAAGGTGCCGCGAGATAAGCCCTTTGCTGAGAGGACACTATACAACCCCCTGCACTCTTTTATACAAAACACACCCCTCTATATACTGATGAGAGAGATTTTGCTTGAAGTGCGGATTAACAATTTTAAATTAATAGCTATTTACAATTAGATTTAATAATGTAAATAAAAATCTACCGGTTTATCATTATTATTGTTTATTCTATAAAAATTAAGTCGCACATGAAATAAATACTTTCATTATTTTATCATTTTGAAGTTTATCAAATTAAATATTAATTTATAAAGTGGTTCCGTCCTGAAAACTGTGTTTTAATGAAGATATTCTCATCACCATCATTATCATGTTTTCCAACTATTCAAACTTGTTTAAATTAATATTTATTGACAGTCTTTGTATTTTTAACTTATTATTTGTAATTATTGAATTATACAACTATTGCTTTAGTTTTATTGGTATAAAAATTACATGGTTCAAGTTATATGATAAATTTTAAAAGACCTACAATCTCTTTCATTTCACTTTTGAGTGGAGAAAGTTGTTCAACTTTTAATTAAATCATTTGAATCAAAAAATTTCCCCCCTAATTCTTCACACTCCATTTTTAGTGCTTTTTTAGCAAGATGGCAATAACCAGCCTTAAGCAAGGCATGAATAAACTTTCTCTTCTCATAAATGCAAAATGCGTTTTTTTTTTTGTAATGAATTTTAATTTAATTTATATATTTACGTTTGCTTTGTGAGGTACAAATATTGTCACCAACAGCATGAAATAGAAGAGAAGCTGCACTGTTTTCACAAATTTCCGAGTAATTTTATTTCTCCGTGCCCTACGAATTAATTAAAAAATCTTATTTAACTGATACAAAAAAAATCCCAGAGTTTAAGCCATATTGACATAAATTTACGATTTTTAAGTCTTCAATCATTTCCTTTTGTTATTTTTAATTCGCAGAGACGCATTCAATGAATCATTTATATTTTGGTCCGCACAAAAGTGAGGTTTTTCATAACAGATGACACTTTTGTGTGCCGCAGGTGCCGAGTGGAAGTTGCTGACCGAAGACGAGAAGCGTCCTTTCATCGACGAAGCCAAACGTTTGCGCGCCTTGCACATGAAGGAGCACCCAGACTACAAGTACCGTCCGAGACGCAAGCCGAAGACCCTGCGTAAGGAAGGCTACCCGTACTCGATTCCTTACCCGTCGGTCCCGAGCATGGAGGCTTTGCGCGCCGGTGAGTTTGGTTTTTGTTGTCCATTCTGTATAGCGCGAGATCATTTTCCTTGAAAGTGTTGAAAAACGATTGTGGCGGACAATGGCCAGCATAATGGCCGCGCTACTCGCTTTTGCTGCTGACAAACTGTTAATTACCGTGAGGTGTGAATGAGTGGACTGAATAGCTTTTTGTGTGTTCACAGGCATGGGAAGTCAGGTGCCAACTCAGTACTATCCTGCGTACAGCTCACTGAGCATGGCAGCCATGGCTGCCGCACAGCAGTCGGCCATCCAAGGACAGGTGCGCCCCTTTTATTTTGATCAAATAATACACACTCCAACTCCATTCCCCTTTGTCTACTCTTCTCACTGTAGTTTCCCCGATTTTGCTGCGCGCGGCTTGCTTTTTATGTAGTTGTCTTTGTCTCCTTTGCTATCAAAGAAGCCCTGTCATTATTCTTTTGTTTATTTTTTTATTTCCCTTCTCTGTGCTGATGAAAACAAAGAGATGAGTTTTTTTCCTTTGAATATAATTTATTTTTGTAGAAAATTCATTTATAGAAAATATTTATGATCACTGATGATCAAAAACAATTTTGGTGTATTAATTTAATGTTTATCATGACTGAAGAGGAATTTATATTAAATTTATTAATATTATTCGTTGCATAAAAGGTTATTATTTCACATTGGAAAGAACCTTTTCAGCCTGCGCAATAAAAATATAAGAATTTTTAACATCTTATAATCCATTGTTAAAAAACTTATTATTTAATATTTAAGATAAATCTCTTTTAAAATTGATCAATTAAATTAGCTTAAAATGATTAGTTCGCATATCTTCTAACAGTATGAAGATAAATTCTTTCGAATGATTGACTGAAAGTCAACTGATAAAGAAACGCTCTCTTTAGAATTGAATTCTCAATAATTGAGAGCGTTTGTATGATGAAGTGATCTCGCGATCTGCTTGAAAGCCGCGCGAATTAACTCTTCTAATTTGACTTCAATGCTACCATTCGCTTTTTACTTTCATTGGAGTCTGCATGCGATGACTGATTCGGTTGAATGATTGCGCGCCTGAAGCAAAAAGTCAAAAATAACCAGTCGATTGCGCTTCTAAAAATAGTGATGGAAATCAGATCTTCAGTCAAAAGCATTTTAAAATGAATTGTATATTTTAAATTCATAGGTAGAATACATGAATTAATTGATTGTAAAAACTTATAATTTATCTAAAATTTATTAAAATTAAACCTGATTTTTTTCCCCCAATCTTGAAATCTTATTCTTAATTTTTTAACTGTATACTTAGTTTCTTCTTTTTCTTATAACCCTCTTATTTTATATAAATGAAATCTTTATTCAATTAAATATTAAAGTATATTTTACTACGATTCTCTAAAAATTTGTTTCCTCATCAGGTTATGCCATCAATGGATGCAGCAATGAAGTACTCCCTGGACGCGGACAAGTACCGCAACTCGTACCCCAGCCTGTCCTCAATGTCTGCAATGTACAACGCGGCCGTGTCCGCCAGCAACCCTCAGACAACGAGTCCCGGCGGCTCCGGGGGTAGCGATTCGCCCTCGATCAGCACCTCGGCCAGCAGCGGTGCGGCCAAGAGCCCTATCGAGGGCAGTTCGGCGTTCCAGCAGAAGATGCCCAACTACCTGGACCCGCTGGCCCGCAACTACCTGGACCCCAAGGCCTACTTCGACTCGTCCAAACTGTACAGTCTGCAGGACCGCTTCCCCGGCTCGGAGCGGCCGCGCTTCGACTCGATGCCCAAGTACTCGCCCTCGGCCGAGGGCAGCACCGGCAGCCGCTCCCCCAACACCCCCGAGGCCAAGCCGGACGACAGCTCTCCGCCCCCGGGAGGCATCCTGCCCTACTACCCCCACCCCCAGGGCCTGCTGCCCATGAGCCAGTACGCGGCCGTCGTCGCAGGCCACCACTACAAACTGGCCGCCGCGGCCGCCGGCTCCGGAGGGGGAGGCTCCATTCCCAGCTCGGCGCCCTCAGCCACTCCCCCGAGCGGCTCTCCAGCCACCACTGCCGCCGGGACGGACCTTAGGCGACCTTTGACCGTGATATTCTAGAGGAGGACCACATTTGCACCTTTTCTCTTTCTCTCGGGGAAAAGTGATCTGATTTAGTTTCGCAAATTGCTCATTTAAGTAGATGACCCCTATCGCGAAAATCGAATGGTGATGTTTAGTGGTTAAGCGCGGTGGAGACAATTATATTATATCGAAGCAAATCTCTCAAGACAAGGAAGGAAGACTTTTTTCTGAATGTAATACAAATTATAATGACAAAATGATCTCACGAAAATGGTTTAAATTATTAATACTCGCTGTTAGAGTAGACGTAATTAATTTTTCTGAGACAGTTTTTTGTTTGATTCCGTCTTTATGCAGATGGTCCGTACTTAAGTAAATGATAATTATGTGTTATGGACAATGTTCTCACCTGAAATCTTAGAAAATCTGTGTAAGAAAAATAGATGGAAGATCAGTTATCGGATAATTATTGTGAGTATAGGTGTATTTAAGGAACGCTATATAATAAATTGTTGTAAATTAATTTACCATTGAAGAAAAATAAAAACTGTTAGAAAAACGCTATGCCACTTTGGACGATGTGTGACAAAAGAACTGTGCATATTATATCAATAGCATCTGGAATAAAACATTTTTAGACAAAAATACTGCCGTCAATTTACTTTATTCCAAAGAATTTCAATTATAAAATGTTTGTAAAAGGGATTTAAAGATTATGCTTCATTAAGCAAATAAAATTCTTTTTCAAACTTATTTACGTACTTTACGCATGACGGGCACTGCAGAGCACGTGCCACTTGAATAAAGTTTGGATAAGTTCGAGAAGGGACGCATGTGACAGCACCGTCTTCACAGAGCCGACCACGCATTGGCCTGTGACGCTCTCTGTGCTCATGTTTGCAAACTAACCCCTGGCAATGTTGACGTTGGCGAGGGTAATCAACTTTGACGTATCGGAGGGATTATTTACGCTTGGCAAATTGAATGGGATTCACCGCAGCCACGCTAAAGTTCATCATCGGAGAATTTATTTTCAATTCAATCTTTGTAGAGAATGTGTTTTTTCAGTGAAAATATTTTATCTCGTTTACCTGCATAAAATTTTGGGAAAGAAAAAATGAAAAATCAATAATATGGAAAGGAACGCATAGAATGATGACAGAATAAAAAAAATATTTTTAGATCTATATCATCAATTGAGAATGTCACGACGCCTGCAGATTAAGAGCTTAGGCAACCGTGCTGTCTGGTGAGTCGAGCAGGTTGCCTATATTGACAGATGCGTTGGTTAATGTTATTGATTATATAAAAAAAAATTTTATATTTTTAAGAGGTTTTTACGTGATTTACTGAAACTGTGTTACACTTTACAACACAAACAAAACACTACTCTAAACTAATTTGATTGGAAAAAAACACACGCACACTAACAATTATCTGAGAAAAAAATTTTAACTCACAAAATGTGACTAACAATAAGTTATTTATTTCCCTCATCACTGCCATTAATATCAATCCATTATTTGTTAAGAGTATTAAAAAACATTATAATTGTTTTGTTTTCATTTCAAATATAATTGTTTAAAAGTGGCCTAAAAATTTCGAGCAGTTATTTTCAAAAATTAGTTACAACGTGGAAAAATCCCTTTTTTTTACTTCAAAAAAAAAAAAAAAAAAAAAAAAAAAAACAATTATTCGAAACTTAAACAATTTTTTACTTTCAAATAAAACCAATAATAAATAAAATGAAGTCCAATTTATTGTAGTATATTGTTAATGCAATTTAATTGATGATTTTGTATCAAATTATTTATTCGTATAACCGTTGTAACTCAATAGATTTTAGAGAGAAAAAGTGATCAGGAGACGTAATGAAGTTAAAATTTGCTCCTTGATTTAAAAAACGAGTTCAAGTCCCATATTTACACTCTTGTAAAACTTTGATTTGTGTTAAAATCCTATTCGTGAGAATTTTAATATTGATATTAAAAGCAGAAGTTTCGTTTTCCGATAGAAAAAGAAAAAATAGCTTTGGAAAATTAAACTGTCGAGGGGAGCAGAATCGATTTAGATAAAATCCATACAGAGGAGTGTATATAGAAGGACAAGAGCTCCTTTTCATGACAGAGATGCAATTTGTTTCGGGTGGTGGAGACGGCAACAAAATAATGGCGGAGCGAAAAGGATCCTGCTTTTTGTTGGAATATATAAAGTCGCGCGCACAAAGGTCTGCAGTGTATTATTATTTGAATCATGATTGATATTAAATACTAAACTTTTTATGGCTCTTAGGGCGTAATAAAATAAGCTGGTGCGGTGACAGAAATAATAAAGACAGAAAGGAGGGATGGAGCGAAGGGCGCGAGTCGACGAAAAGGCAAAGCGCGCGCGGCGGTTCTATAAAGGCGAGAGAGATGAGATATACTGCGGTGTTGGTGCTGCTCGGCGAGGGAGAGAGGAAAGATTTACCAACATAAGTTCCTATAAAATATATAACTTTATCATTCGCTACACTGTGCTTTCTTCTATCTTCCTATTTTTATTCATTTCCTCCAGTGCAGGCCGCGACCATGTTTCTTGTAGATAAGAAAAGTCGTGCAGATGAGCTGTGGGAAGGAGCGGCGGCGGCGGAGGCACAGCGGCGCAGCCTCTCTCTCTACCCGCGACTTCCTCTCTCTCCCGGCGACTTTCTTTCGTGCAATTTTGCGTATTATTTCACGCCCCTTTTCTCTCTGCACCACCCGAGATTGTCGATTTGTGCGCATATAATAAGCCCGGGCGTCGTCGCTTCTTTTGTGCTGCTCGTTTCTTTGCCTTTTATTTAAAAAAAATCTAAACTATAAAATAAATATTCCAAGAGCTGATTTTCTTATAAGAATTTGCTTTATAAAAAGAAGAGAAGATCTATTATGGTGGTTGTATTTATGTTGAAATTTTCGTCTCGATGCGATTTTTGGCTTGTTTAAAAATAAAAATAACAAATAATATATCCAGCTTCAAGTGCTTTCGCTTATACTTCATTCAAATTGCAAAGCGTAAAATTTTATGAAAATATTATTGTAGAAAAAAATAACTAACTTTGAGGAAAGGAGAGGAATTTAAAAATGAAATTCTTTAAAAATATCGATTTGAATGAGTTAATAGGCCAAGAGCGAAGGAATAATTAATGATACAGACCTCTCATTAATTGACCTCTCCCCTAGAATAAGGAAGTGGTGAAATGGCGTTCTTTGCGAGGAGATTAGGAGGATGTTGACGTAATTTCTTAATGGCCTTTTCTCTAGCCGGAACTTGTATATTAAGGGGATTGCTCAGATTGTTCTTGTATTAGCAACGCTGAACTATTCATGCATCCGAAAAGGAATTTTTTCCTTAGATATACAATCATCCGCTGAAAATATATAATATTATTTTTTTTAAAGGAAAAATTAAAATCAGCTGAATATTTTTTTCTTAAAAATACCAATTTCCAGATTATAATTGTTAGTATAATTATATGAATAGTTTTTTATTTTTTATTTATTAATTAATTTATTTTTTTTTTTTTTTTTTGAGAAGAAAATTTTTCAATTATTATTTTTTTAATAAAGCGAATAAAGAATAACTCAAACTTTTATGAAACTCGTAGATCACATTTAAACATGTATAAATAAATCTTAGCAAACTTTGTGGAAAAAAAATTGTAATGTTGAGCGCAATGCAATGTTAATTTTAATTGTTTTTATAGTGCCAATTAAGCAATAGTCAATTTTCTGATTATGATGTGGATGCTTGAACTAAATTTTTCAAATCTTTCCCTTATTCTAATTAAAATTTTGAAATTAAAAAAAAATACAATTGATTTTTCTTCAAAAACTTACAAATTTATCTCCGAAAAATTGTTGAGAAATATGAATTGGAGGGTAACAAATTATGAATCGTCTCGTGAAAGATTGGATTAATCGTTCCACTTTTTCCAGGAAGAATTAATTCCAAAATCACCGAGTTTCCGATATTTTCAAAATCACGTTTACTCCACGCAGGAGTGAGCAAAAAATGCCAGAGGTGCTGCTGCCGTACTATTTTATCATCAACGGCGCGACGGCGTGAAAAAGGCCGAGGCAGCGAGATTGGAGAGGCGAGATGAGACGACATTGTAGTTAATGCGACACAAATGAGAAAAGCGGCAAGCGAACAGTGCGTAATGCAATAACTGTTTTGTGTCACGGGTGAGTGTGCATGGAGAGCGAGCGAGTGCGCTGCGGGCTGCCTACTTGCCAACAACCCTGCCTGTGTCTCTCTCTCGGCGGCGCGCGGTGTGAAAAAGCTATTCCACGCTCACTTAACCACAATCCAGCGCGCAAATTGCAAATTTACAGCAGCCCGCGTCCACCGACACGGCGACGACGATCCGTCGCCAGCAGCTATTCATTTTCTGCTCGAGATCAGCTCATCTTGTTGATTGTTCAATTATGAAAGGCGTCAAAGAGGAAAATGCAATCTTAGACACAGCCGCATTTTGCCACAGCACAAAACTGCCAGGCAAGGAATGCTTTATATTCGAAACATTCAAATAAACTCTTAAAAAATCGGTACAGAAAATTTCCGTTGTTATCAAAATATTTGCAAATCAATTTATATTAAATATTTCAACTCCAAAATATATTTAGTCAGAATTAATAAAAATGGATAATTACCTTGAAAGTAAAGCAAATTTGAGTAGTTTAATTTATTTTTCAAGATTAATAATAATAATTTCATTATTCTTTATTCATTTAAAGTAATCCGCGTAAAAATTTTTGCAATACCTGCAACGATATATTTTTTTGAAATTAAATTGGAATGAAATCTTAAAAAAAAAAATTATACCTAGGTCATTTAAGGATGAAATTATAATAAAACAAATTAATCTGTTTGAATCCCATAGCTTTTGAGCAACACCGAGAGTTGCTTGTCCTCAGTTTGTTTAACAGCGCATTTATCTTTTCTCTCTCCCATTCTCCAAAGAGTCTCTCTTTATCTCCCGTTTTCTTTATAAAAAAAAAACGATAAAATTATTTGAGAAGTCATTTGTACAGCCAGCCAGGGAGATCAATAGCGATTGTTTGCTGTCTAGCAAGAAGAAATGAGGAAGAGAGGATGAATGCGACCTGAATGTGTTCTTACAATTTCGTGTCGTACAATCAAGTTAACGCCAAGAGAGAGCCTTCTTGTGTCGAGTTAAATAAACACAAACGAGCCTGCGACAAGGGGATCGATTATACAGGCGAGAGAGAGAGAGCGCGCGGTCTGCAAAAATAAATACTCATAGAGTCAACAATGGGACGCTTTTTCCACCACGAAAAGAGAGATGGAAAGAGAAGTAACATTTTATTCGATATATATTTTATAGATTGGGATTGAAAAAGTCGTCTTTTAATTTGCTTTATGTGCAACCACGAGTTCCGAGAGACGTCTTATTTTTTTGCAGCAGTCAATGTATAAAAAAGTCGCACCCTCCGATCTCGATTCACTTTGGGGGAAATGTGCTATCGCATTTTTATATAAAGGTGAAATATTACTCTCGACACAGGAGGGTATGAATTCGATTTATTCGCAGAAAGAAAAAGACATTATTTTGGTCTTTGTTGG